ACACAGTTTCTCGCATGGAGGAAGACTCTTTAAATGCCTGCCATGTTGGTTTCCCTTGTCATTGTATTGGTGCTCTTAGGTTGAATAAACCCTTGAGAGTTTTCTTTATGGCAAGAAACATAGAAACTTACTAATTTTAGAAAGACTCCTAATTCAACAAGCTGATTGTGACTATGCCCATAAAGTAGAAGCAAGGCGAAATAACTATATATAGTTGTTAGTTTTTGTCCAGAGAAAGAGGTTGTTCCTGACATTAGTTGTTCGTTTTCTATTTTAAGAATTTACAAGTTTATTTTTTTAATCTTTTATTTCTCATTTTCTGTGCATTGGTGTTTTATGCCTGTCTGTCTGTCTGTGTGTATGTATGTATGTATGCATCCAAACCCCTGGAACTGGAGCTACAGACCATTTTGAGCTCCCAGGTAGGTGCTGGGAATTGAACCCAGGTCCTCTGGAAGAGCAGCCAGTGCTCTTAATGGCTGGCTAAGCTATCTCTCGAGCCCAAAATCACAAGTTTTAATTTTTCAGTTCTCTGAACTTTCAACTAGAGTGGTTTCTCAAGGTTAGAATTTGGAAGATCACATAGTTTCTAGTAAAATACAGTGACATAGTCTGTCTCTGCTCCTTAGGTTATAGTTACTCAAGCCAGATCTGAGCTCCGTTGTCTTACTGCTGTAGTTCTTACTCTTTTATGCCCCAATGCACTTATGTTCCAGTTTCTGTTAAATGTGTCTTCAAAATGGTTTTTAAAATTTGACCGTATTCTCTATCCTTAAGATTCACACTAATGTAGCAGTTCTCAGCCTGTGGTTCTCAACCCCCAAGTCTGTCAGAAAACAGATATTTACATTATGATTCATAACAGCAGCATAATTATAGTTATGAAGTAGCAACAGGAAATTTATGGTTGGGGTCACCGCAACATAAACTATATTAAAAGGTCACAGTATTAGGAAGGTAAAGAACCACTATTATAATGCTGACGATATTCTTTTCTCTGCCTTAGTATAGTAGCCTCCCCAGTACTGCCCCTCACACACACACACACACACACTCACCCTTTAGGGAACTAAAGGGATTGAGGATGGGCCATGTACAAGATCCCCAATTTGGTTCCACATGCCTGCTCCTGATTTCTTCATCTTCTTGATAAATTGGAACAGTACTACAGGCAAAACAGACATGCTGAAATTTTCTCTCTTCTAGCTTTGGCCAAAACTGTAACTAAATTGATTTTTCTATTTCAGCAATACATGTGAGTGAAGTTTTGAACCCAGAGAGCTAGGCCACAATGGCCAAGAGTTGGAGTGATAACACTGTTTTGTGATGTGAATAGCATTCAGAGAAGCAGGGTTTGTTGTTGTTATTTGGGATTTTGTTTTGAATTAGGTTTAAGTATCTGTGTGTAAGTATGTGCACATTAGTACGGGTACCAGTAGTGGCCAAAGGGTTTCAAATTCCTTAGAGTTGGTGTTACAGATGATTATTAGTTGCCATGGATGCTAGTAACCAAAGTTGGATTCTCTGCAAGCATAGTATGCATTCTGTATGCTTAGCGTGTGCTAAGCCATCTCTCCAGTCCCTAGAGCACTGTTTTTGGTTTTTGGTTTTGTTTTTTATGTACATTGGTGTTTTGTCTGCATGTATAGCTGTGTGCGGATATTGGATCCCCTGGAACTGGAGTTACAAAGTTTTAAGCTGCTATGTGGATGCTGGAAATTGAACCCAGGTCCTCTGGAAGAGCAGTTACTGCTCTTAACTGCTGAGCCATCTCTCCAGCCCCCAGAGCACTGATTTTAAAGCACACATTTGTTCGCTGCTTTGCTTTAGATTTCTGATTTCCCGGGCTGGAGAGACGGCTCACTACTTAACAGCACACACCGCTCTTCCAAAAGACCAGAGGTCATTCCAATTCTGGGGCTGCACTCACATGCACAGATACACACAGATATAAATTTATATAGTTACTATGGTTTGTGACTAGCATAGCGCGCGCGCGTGTGTGTGTGTGTGTGTGTGTGTGTGTGTGTGATTGGAGAAAATATTTTTTAAACCTATGGTTTCACCTTAACATTCTAAATGTGCAGGTTTTTTTTTTTTTTTCTGAGTTAATTGTTCTATAGTGGTAGTAGAAATTCATGCCAAGTGTCTATTATGCAGTTTGTTAAAACAAAAGTGATCAGAAATACTGTATTTCTTATGCCAAGCATGGTGGTACATGCCTTGAATCCCAGCTCTTGGGAGGCAGAATCGGGTGGATCTTGTGAGTTCGAGGCCAGGTAGGTCTACATAACAAGACCTTGCCTCAAGAAACTAACAAGCAAGCAAAAGAATATTGTATTTCTTATGAGAGTTTCTTGGAAATACTGTGTTTTTAATGTTCTGAAAAAGATAAGGCCTAGTCTTAGACATGGTCAGGACACAGAGGCATTTAGCTTTCTCCTCATCAGCCTAACAGCTCCTCTGTATGTAATTGGCTACTCTACTTTATGAACTGAGTATTTTCAAATTCTGTTGTATTGAAAAACCCAGATAATCTTTCTTTTGATGTTGAAAGTTTGTTGAAGCCAGCAGTGTTTAATTTAGAGCATTGTTAATAATAAAATAGAGCTGCAAATTGTTCCAGCACATCATGAGATAATGTTAAATGAATTATTTAGTGTTAAATTAAAAAGCCTGTTAAACTATTTTAAACTGTTCATGGTTAATGAAAAATATTTTAAGATTAAGTTCTTTTGAAATGTATTGTGTTTTCTGTCCATAGATTAACCTTTTGAATTTTGAGTCATAGGATGTCCTCTTTTAATTAAAACAAATCTCTGGGAATTGACTTTTTTTTAATGTATAATAGAAAGGTTGAATTTTTTTATGATCTCTTTGTTTAAAAGAAAACAACAGTGTTCCTTTATTTAAAAGCCTTGATGCCTAGCGAATAAACGTGGCACAACTCTTTGATGATGGAATTGGCTTTTCGAATTGAAAGGGCAGCATGCCTCATGAACGTGAATCAGGGTGAGGGGTTACAGATAAATCCAATGTACGGGTCTGGCAAGAGTAAGCTGCCATTTATAGAGAGAGCTTGCCTGCTGAGGACTTCAGAAGTGGAAGGAAGGAGCAGGCGTTGCCTCCTCCATGATGGCTGTGTTGAATCATGGAGGGAGGTGCATGCAGGGAAGGTAATCTGGTAGCATAGGTATTGCCCTCTATAGAGGCTAGTTCCCTGTGAGCTGAGTGGCTGAGGGGAGAGGGCTACAGTGAGAACACAACAGTGTGTTCAGAAACAGGCCGCTACTTAACTGTGCCTGTTTGTTTAATTTTACTAAGGAGTCACATGTGCCTAGTTTCTACACTTGGTGACCATTTCTCATGTGTCTCTGTCATTCTTTTCTCCTGGGATGTCTTCCTTCCCTTAATCCCTTCAAAACTGCTTTGCTTAGAAGAGTGGCTTTATCTCTTTTTGCCTTAGTTATGAGCCTGGGCAGCACTGCGCAGCTCACCCTCAAAGCACACCTTGTGGTTGCTTTTTCTTCATGTCACTGTCAGCTGACTAAATGCTACCTGCCCTGTCCTCGAGACTGCTGTTAACTGGCTACAGCATTGCTTAGTGTCTGGATCAAGCCTTTGTCATTATATCCTCAACCCCAAACCAAATGATGGTATTTTAAGTGTAATTTTTCTAATGATTATAAAAGTCTTAGGTATTTATTGTACAAATTAAAAAAAAAAACCAAAAATCTTAAAATGTGCTAATTCTAATTTTTTCCTGTCTTTCATGTAATTCAATGTTCTAAAAAATACATAGCTGAAGCTGGAGAGATGTTTCCACAATTATGAGCATAAACTGCTCTTCCATAGCACCTGATTCCCAGCTAACAGCCACTTAAAACTCCAGCCCCAAGCTGTCCAGCTCCCTCTTTGGCCTCCTTGGGGACCCATATACGTGTGACACACACGCACACACAGCATGCAGACATATAAATAAACCTTTAAAAAGACTACAGTTCATAAACTGTTTTCTCCCATGGTTTTCTATTTCTGGGCTGTATCCACTACATCCATTAGTTCCTTAGAGTCCTTACTGCGCTACATTCTTGAGTGGATCTCTAAGTGAGATTCGGAAGTGATGTGCCCAGGTATTTTTCCAGAAATACTTTTATTTCGTGCTTATTCTTCAGTTATAAGTTAGCCAGATACGGTAGGCAATTTTCTTAAATATGTTACACTTTGTATTCTGATACCCTGCTGATGAGAAGTCTAAACATACAGTGATACCTTTTGTGTCTTTAAAAAGTCACTTTTGAGAGCTGCACTTGTCCTCTCTTAAAGCAGACTTTTGGATTTACTGTGCTTATAAATGGGTTAATTTTTAAGGAGCAAATTTAGTATAGAAATTAGGACATAATAAAAATCCTTAAATCACTGCTTAAAGTTGTAGGCACTCCTGGAGTGGTGTCTTCATGAAATACATGAGATTGTATATTTATGATTTCTTTTTTTCTTTTTGGAGACAGTATTTTGTGTTACGTTTAATTCAGACAGAAATCTGCAGTGTTGTAGACCAGTGCTGTACAGTAGAGGTTTCTGTGGTGACAAGAATGTTTCGAATGCTAATGTCTGATCAGGGAACCACTAGTCACTGCACAGTGGATGTTGGTGTGGTCTTATCTTTATTTTTTGTCAAGGTAGTGGAAGCTTTGGATTGATGAATTATAAACAGTAATCATTTAAGACAGTTTTGCTTGCAGAGTTTACTTATCTAAGCAACACAGTTTCAGAACTATGTTTAGGACTGTAATAACAGAACGTGTACTTTTAGCTTAGGGGGTTAGTTTTTACATTGTAGTTGGGGATTTGTTTTGTTTTTAGTGTGCTTAAGTGTTTATGGTAAAGCTACTCTGGTATTCTGGTTTTGCTTGCTTGCTTATATGTGAGTAGCTATTGACATAACTATAGGACTCACTCTACTAAGCAGTGTTTTAACAATGCCTTTTGTTTTTCAGATTGCAAATAGAAGAATCTTCCAAACCTGTAAGGCTATCCCAGCAGCTGGACAAAGTCGTAACGACCAATTACAAGCCTGTCGCTAACCATCAGTACAATGTGAGTCTTCTGTGTGCCTTTCATCAGTGTCCTTGTTCCTTTTAGCATCACAGATCCGTAGACTTAGCAGTCCTGCAGCTTGCTATGACCTGTGCTAAGCATAGAAAAGTGCTTGCTCTATATCCAGAGCTGTATGGCAGAAGGGAGCTGTTGCCCTTGATCAGGCTTTACAGAGAGATAATATGATAATAGCACTTCAGTTCTCAGTGTTTCTAATCACAACGTACTTCATAAATATAAATTTACTAACATTTTGTTTTCTGTATCTATATAGTTTACTGTACCGGTTTTAATATGCCAGCAAATTTTCAAAGATCATACATAAATACGTAGAACTATGTAGCACTTTTTAAAACATTACTTGAAAATTTTAAGAACAGTGCACATTGAACAGTGGTAGTTCTCATTAAGATAGCTTTGTTTCAAAAATGTCCCTGGCATTTGTTGGTCTTTCACTACTATGCAGAATGAAGATCACCTTTCTATTATATGTATTATTGTGTGCACTCTATTATATGTATATGTATGGAATAATGTATGGTAGGGATGTAAATTGTCTTCTTATGCATGTTAGCCCATCATATGTCAGTTACTTTTGTGAGTTCTTCATAAAAAAAATGGCTTGTCATCTTTCTGCCTTTTCTGCCTACACTTTTAAAGTGTAATTACTGCTCTTACACACATGAGTAAAACTGACCGGTCCAAGTGTTCAACCCAGGGAGTCTGACTTAGGACATGTGCTGACTAGTTTTTTGTCAGCTTGATACAATTTAGAGTCAGGTGGGAAGCAAGAGCTTCATTTGAGAATGCCCCCCACTAGGTTGGCCTGTGGGCACGTCTGTGGTGCATTTTCCTGATTGATGATAATGGGGGAAGGGCCTAGCTCACTGTGGGCAGTGCTATTCCAAGCTGAAGGTCCTGAGTGCTGAAAGAATTCATGGGGAGCAAGCCAATCAGTACCATTACTCCATGGCTTCCTAATGAGTTTCTGCTTTGAGATTCTGCCCTGAGTTCCATGGATTATGCACTACACGTTGTAAAATTAAGTAAATTCTTTCCTCCCCAAGTTGCTTAGGGTCATGGTGTGTTATCACAGTAGCAGAAACCCCATCTAAGAAAGGAGTCAAATGCTTAACTACTGTGTATGTTGGTACAGAATGCTAACAGTGCCAAAGGAGCCTGGGGAAATGTGATGAATTGCTAAAGGTAAAAGGAAGTCTGAATAACAGTCAATAGATAGAATCTTGTATTCTGTGCTGTTGGATAATTTCCTTTTGGTCTAAGTTTTAGGAAAAAAAAAATAAAACCTCTATAAGATGAGCCTTAAGTACTCAGACTTGAGTGCCACAGAATGACATCTGAGTTCCTTGTGCTTATTTTTTATGAGCTAGCAAGTGCTTCAAAGGTAAAACAATCATCTTCAGTGGTCAGAAAACGCAAATCCATTCATATATCACAGTTCACCACACTGACTAGATTAAAGGAAGCAGGTGGCAGTTTGGCTGGTTAGCCCCTAGTTATGCTTTAGGGGGCAAATAAACCAAAGAAGAGGAGCAGGAAGCTAAGTGGATAGGTAATCTCTTGTCTGTTGTTGAGACAAGTAGATGAAAGGCAGTTTCTTTGTCCTCTTCTCTTCTATTTGTGTCTATTGTTAGCTCAGAATACTGTCATGTTTGGTGTTTAAATGAAATGAATTAAAAAATTAAGTCGGTAATTTTGTGCAAACACCGTAGTTGTGCTTAAGAGGTATAGCTTAAGAGTCCTTGACAATATGATGTATACTGTTTATACATGCCCAAAACATACTGTAGAGGGCTCCACAGCAACTTTCTAGGGCTATGTGAGAAAGGAAAGTAACGTGACAGGATTGTGTTGTTTTGCCTCTCTTCTTCAGTGCTGTTCTCTTCTGTGGTTCCAAAATCTGCCTTTGTCGTCCTCCTAGGGACCAGGTGTATATGTGCAGTTTCTACTCTGGGATGTTTTTGTCACAGTAAAGGCAAGACAGCATATACTTCCCCTAGATTACAAAGAGATAGATACTTTCCGGGGGAAATTTGGATGTGTGTGTCACTAAGAAAAAGTATTTTCCTTATGTCTAAAATTTATAATAGTAAGACAAGATGTATATACAGAAATGGTTCTTTGTTGCTTAAAACAGATAAACATTGGACATGATTTTCAGAATTGAAGATTGGTTGACTATTTTAAGTTATTAATTTTAGATAGTAAGATATAGAATGCACCGTTAGCGTTCTGTATCAATACACACAGTAGTTAAGCATTTGACTCCTTTCTTAGGGTTTCTGCTGCTGTGATAAGACATCATGACCCTAAGCAACTTGGGGAGGAAAGAATTTATTTCATTTTACAACTTGTAGTGCATCATCAATGGATCTAGTGTGAATTCACCTCAAATTTTTCTTCACAAATCCTTTGGGTTGTTGGAATTGTGGCAACGAGGATGAGTTGTCTGAAATGCTGTTGGGCAGTCAAGTTCTCCCTTTGGGATGGGTAAGGGAAGAGAGCTAGGGAACAGTGTCTATAACTAGCCCATGTCAGAGGTGTCTTCTCTGTGTAGCAGATGTTTGCCTGTGCCTGAGAGAGAGTCCCCTGGTGACCTGCCTTCCTGAGCTGCCACCCCTTCCTGTTCTCTGCTTGTGCCTTCCTTAGATCCCAAGTTGGGGCATGGTGAACATTGCCTTTGAAGTATGAAGTACAGCTTTCTGTAGTATTAACACCATTTTCCCACTTAATTCCATTGCAAATACCCCCTGTGCTGCCGCAGACCATTAGTTCTAAGATGAAAGGCAAATCCCCTCTAGGAAGTTTGAAGCTGGTGCTTTGGTAGTAGGGTAGTTCAGACCTCTGCCTAGGTCATTTTCTTAGTGACATTAACACCCAGGCTTGTCATACACAGCCGTATGTTTAGAATACTTTCATTTTGTGTTGTTTTTACTACTAAAAATAGTGCACATTCATTGTATTCTTTATACAGCTGTAGTACACCTGCTTTAACAGTCTCTTCACATTGACATTTCAGTTCAAGCCCCATACCTTAGTTAGGATTATGATATAAATGAGTAATGAGTTATCTAGTAATTTTTATTAAGACTTTGTTTATATAGAAACAAAGCATTTGAGTGTTTAGTGGTTGTTTTCTATGTAAATGGATCAGATATTTGTAATATAAAGAGACATTAATTTTTAAGATATTAAGAAATCAAGCATGGTTTAAAATGAACAATTTAGAGGCCATAATAAAACTTTTAATAATATTTAAATCATTATTAATATTGAAATACTTTGAAAGATTTTCAGATCTGTATTGTGTGCCTTGGTGATTAATTTTAATGGCTGAGGTTTTAAAAAGGAAAGTGTACAATTGCACATATGCATGCAAACGTCTATAATTCTTCTCACCCCCGGCGGTGTTAAGGGCATTGCGGTTACAACTGAGAACACTCCAGCTCTGTCACTGCTTTGATCTAGAGTAAACCCCTTTCCTTTACCACCAGAAAATGTCTACGGCGCACATCAAGCCTGTGCCTTCTTGCCATCTTTATGGTGGTCAAGCTTTTTTTCTCTCTTCTTTCTTTTTTCTTTTCTTTTTGTTTTGTTTTGTTTTTTAGCAGAAGAGTAGAAATTGTAGCCATGTAGCAGTTCACTAAGGTTTCACATTATTGTACACTAAGGTCTCGATAGTATTATAGTTATAGTTGACTAAGGTCTCACATCAACTAAATTTAGACTTCACTAAATTCACATAGTAAATGCATGTGAATAAGATGGTGAAAAAACTGACGCTCTTGCTGCTAACAGTCACTCAAGTAGAAACAATGATAAAGTAATCAGATCTGACAAGAATGTGGCTTCTTTTCAGAATAGAAATTATCAGTATCACTTTAAGGATGGCTTTTCATTCTCCACCTTTATCCGTGACTCAGTTGTGTCTTTCTTGAGACTTGAAGCAACTCCAGATACTTAAGCAAAAATGGATCAGTAGAGATTTGATTTTCAGGTACTTTATGAATACAAAATGGAAGGCCATGGTCATGAAAGGGAAGGAGGTTAGCTACCAAAGATCTGCTGATAGAAAAGGAAAGGGGGAAAAAAGAAAATCCCCTTTCTTCCCACCATCATTTTTCTATTGGCAGAAGTGTTGTTTTTTTTTTTTTTTAACAAACCTACTTTATTTAGGGTTATTATACATTTCTACCTCCCTTCCAACCCCCCAACACCACTTAGGAGGAAAAGAAGGTTAGTGGAAACGGGCAGAGTTCTCTCTGCTACTTCCCACTGGGTAGAGTTGTAGGATTCCTTTGGAAGCAATACAAATATCAGTCGTCCAGAAGTCCAGGTAGCCAGCAGATCGGCAAGCAGCAAATGCAGCAGCAGGACGAACCAGCAGCAAGCAGTCCTCCTCAAAGCAGCTGTGCCTTCTTCCTCTGGGCTGTCATGTTTATACCCCTCAAAGTCTTCAAAATTCAACTAATTCCACCTGGCAAAGACCATGCTCCGAATGAGACACTTAACAGGTGTGGACAAACTAAAGTCCCCAACTTGGAATTTTAATAAAAACATATTTATATATCATAAACCAGAACATCCATACTACAGAAGGAAACCAGCTGACAGTCAAATCTTAGAAATGTAGCTGTGCCGCTGCTGCCACCAAGACCTAGAGCTAATGACTTTGGCTGAAGTAACTTTCCTTAACTTTTGTGGGGTTTGTACCTTATTATATTGTACCTTATTATATGCAGTATAACCTTTATGAGTTTGCAATGCTATTGAAAACTAATAAGCGTCTTGAACATGACGATCAATCACTATTTTTTTTTCTTTCCAAATTATTGTATTTTAAAAGCAAAGAAGAGGTAGATTTTTGTTCGCTTTTTTTTTCCTGAGGGAGAGAAATTATGGTTGTGGGTGTTCATATATGTGTATACATGTGAAAACCTTAATTACTCTTTATCTTACTTTTTGAGACAAGGTTTTTT